TCGGCAAGAAAGCAAACAAGTTAATCACCCAAAATGTTCTTTATGTTATTTAACTATTCCTTTTCTTCCTTTTTTTTTTGCAGCAAAATCTTTAGGTTTTCTACAAATGATAGTTTTCAAATGTGTGAGATAATGCTGGTTGCAAGCAGCAGATGAGGACACGTGGATGATTTTGTAGCTTCTGCTCTAATAATTTGATGTGCACATTGGCCAACGTGGACAACCAGTCCCCTAAACAGCTGGTTCATTACTCGAGGAACATTCTTTGTACTCTTTGTCACACACTCCTATAGAAAATGTGCTAACCCTTGTGCAATCCAAGGATGAATTTTTCAACATGTGTCAGAAAGTAAAGTTCTCCTTCGTGGCCTCCTTTGACCTGTCCAGCCCTCTCAGTCCTTTGTTTTTCTCTTTCCCTCTCCTTCTCTGATACACTTACATGAAACGATGTGACATATACGCCACTTGGCTGTTCATCCAGTGTGCCCTACAGTTCTATAAGTGCACTCATCTTAGCCGGCGTGGCTGGCCGGAGTCAAACTCTCTCCTTGTGAGTTTTATGCACAATGCATTAAACAACACAGAAGTCTCCTCCCTTTCTCCCTTCTTGCTACCCATGCCACCCTCTCCTCCCTCCATCTATTTTCCTCTTTTCTTCTTTTCCTTCCATCTCTCTCTTTTTCTATGTGTGACAGTAGTCATGTCAGAGCAAGGCTGGCTGAAGCCCTTGCAGCAGTCTGCCTCTTTGATGTTGAGCCCTGCTGAATTAGGCCATCACCCAGCGGTGCTCTGCTGCCTACTGCACACACACACACACACACACACACACACACACACACACACACAGTACTCTTGCAAGCGCACACAAACAAACACAAACAAATGGATGCTGGTAGCAAAGCATGCACATGCGGAAAAAAAACACGACAACACACGCACAAGCCATGCAGGTCTCACACTACCTTAATAATATGCTCCAAACCATGTCTAAACATTATTATTCTCACTCACACACATTGCGAGTTCCATTCATATATACTCTAAGTCCTCATTTCCTTCTCTGCTTCTCTTTAATAAACATAAATTTGAATTCTTATGAGTGCTTCTCCTCTGAGGCCTCCATACTATAGTACATCAAAGAATGCACACACACTCATGAACACACACACAGGGAAAATGTAGGACAATCGGAGACAATTTATTCAAGAATACGGAGTACAGGGAAGAATGTATTCCCTTTCAATCTGCTCCCTCTTGCTCTTACATTTTGGTCGTATGAATAGTAGAAAAGTGACTAAAGCAGGAACCCATACGCAATTACGCATAAAAACTGGCAGCTGACCTGACAGCTCATAAAGTGAACATGACGTGTTAAAATGGAAATTCACTCTGTTCGCAAAGAGAAATTCAATTCAGTTGCAAAAAGATGGGTCTTTGGTATCCCATGTGCAGTTCCCAAATCATATGAAGAAAAATATTTGACCTCCCTGAGTGAGCTTATCATGTCCACTGAACCTAATCCAGACAATGAAGCTGCAGTAATTGATATTCCTATTGTACTATTGTATAAAATCATTATGTGTATTGTGAAAGGTGAGAGTCCCATAGATAACTCCGCAGCCCCCTCAGTTCTACGCAGCTTCATTCAGCTCATTGTTTACATTCTACGGCCCACTACTAGACTATGCACGACCACTTAGTAAAACTTACAGTATGCTACCTGCTCTAACAACAGACACACATAGTTCGAAACATGCCGGTGGACATAGTGGAGCATTAACAAGCTTAAGAACCAGATATTTCAATGAAGAGCTGGAGGAGATCAAACATTGAGCTAAAAGAAGAGTGAAAATGTGATGTATGTTCATCAGGTGGACAGAAACACGACTTCAAATGAATGCTAATATGTCTTCGTATCTGCTTGAAGTGTAAATAGGCCACTGATTGCTAACACGTAAGCCATATCAACTGATGTTGTGTTTACTGCTAATTTTGCTGCACTCAAGTGGAAAAATTCAATTTATGCAGACTTATTTAAAATGCCAAGTCCCTAATTTTAATTAGGAATACTGTAGGAGTGTTAATAATTAATTAGTATCACTCCTACAGAGGCAAAATGGCATTTTTATGTGTGATATTTGTTGTTTTATTTATTATAAAAAATATAAATTATTTTATGGGCACAGATACTTATTTTCTGAACTGTTCTACCCTGCTGTAGCATTAATGGAGAAATGGCCTTTTCACTGTGTCGTGTTCATGATAACTTTTATAATTACCTTTTCACTCTGAATAAAAATAGAGAAATCGGTAAGTTGTTTGAGACAGTTCAGCAGTTTCCATCTTTACAGAACGAATAAATGGTCGCACAGCGTCTCTTGTTAATCCCATATACCTTATCACATCCCATGCCTTATTGGCATGACTGTTATTTTGTACAGTATTGTCAAAGCAGGCTATACAGGATATACAATGGTACATCTCCTCTTTCTCTCTCTCTCTCTCTCTCTCTCTCTCTCTCTCTCTCTCTCTCTCTCTCTCTCTCGTTATTTCCACTGTTGTTGGTTCGGTAGAAGAATGCTTGAAAACATGAATGTAGGACACTTAAAGAGCAAAAGCTGTTCTTTTAAATGTTGTTGTTAAAGGCAGAACGAGCAGGATTTGTCGGTCGCACACTTTTTTTGGAAGAAACTTTGTCCACTTGGCATTTTGCCTCGCTATATTAGCGTTTCTTTTCAACGCTGTGGCCACCATTTTAGTAGCTTCCCTTTATATGTGCGCGAAACGTCCCGATCACAGAGAAATACGAATAAAATAAGAAAATACAATCAGATACAAACACCGCCACTGAGCTCCCACAGCGGTTACCACTGATAACACTGTCACAACCCACCGCGTCGTAGCGTGTTGTTAGCAACGTTTGCTGCTAGCCGCCAGCTCAGCTGTCGCCATGTTAAGAGCCATGTGAAGGCAAACCCCTAAATCTGCAAACCGCTAAATATGCTCTGAATTTGGGATTTAGCAAGTTTACGCGATGACCTAAAATGTTCCTGAAAAACTTTTTTTTATATTGCTTATATTTGTGTTAATTTGCTTGCGTGTCATGCACCTTTAAAATTCTATTTTTGAAGAGTTGGCAGATGAATGAGTTAGAAGAGCATGTGGTAGCCTACCAGCAGTTCACATAAGACAATAACAACTCACATTTTACACACACACACACAGCTGCACACGCATTAAATTACAACACACAGTCATGCATCGCTGCCCTCCATGCCGCACACAGCGTGTCATCACTGCATATCTATTACACGGGGAAGTGAAGATCTATTTCTAATTCAATCAGTCAGCGCTGGTGTCACATCCCTCGCTCCCTGGCTTTCTCCCTGCCTCGCCCGCTCTCTCTCCGCCTCGCTCTCCTTTTTCCCCCTTCGCTCCATTCTCACTGATGCGTCCCAGTCATCATGGGGCTGGTGGACGTGGGTGTCAGGTTTGTGGCTTTGTTTAGGCGTGTGTGTGTGTGCGCGAGGGTTTTTCTAACCTAGTGGGAATCAGTTGAAGTTTTAGAGTTGAAAGTGTCGACATATTCGTTGTTTGAAACTTTGTTTAATTCATGTTTTTCATATGAAACTGTCACTGCTGTCACTACGTTTACTAATTTAACTTACATTAATCAATTTAGCAGCAGCTGTTCAATGCACCTCCAATGTTCACTCTCCTTTTAGATCTGTTTTGGTCTCCACCAACACCAGAGGGGAAAATAAATCTGGCTCTTAAGCTACTAAATGCTCCACTGCGTTCACCAGCTAGTGACTAACTTTGTCTGTCTGTACTAACTTTTTATAGGTTCGCTCATCAAATTGTCAATACATCTCAAGTGCCATATAAAAACACACAGGATCACATGAAACATGTCATTATTTAATTATTCATTGATGAACCCAACACAAAAACGACAACAAAAATCAGCTTGTTTGTCATACTTTGGATTTTATTCTCAAGTAAAAAAAAAAAGAATTATGAAAAAAACGGGCCAAAGATTAAATTTGATTTAGATTTTTAATGTGTCAGATTTGTGTGACCAGGACGACTCATTTGTATCCTGCACTTGATAAACTTGCAGCAAATGCACTTTGGTGATGGTAGCTTTAATGTAATGAATATGTACTTAAACATCAACATACGTTTTTTGAAAATTAGTTGTCAGTACATTCAATGGAACACAGCAAAACATATAAATTTTCCAAAATGTAAACAAATATAGAACAGAGCTCAGATTGCTGCCCACAGTGAAGACATAAATATCAAAATGAAATTCAGTCCCTGGCCCATATTTTAATTTCCTGTTTTTGATTTGCATAAATTTGCATAAAGTTTCATTTTTTTTTTTTTAATTTTTCCGATTTTGGATTCGGATTTTGGACAATGATACAAAGATTTAAACTCTGAATCATATAGTCATAATTTCTCATAAAGAAAGCACACTAAGGAGACATGTATATGTTTACATTACAGGTTTGTTATTTTGCTCGTCAGCTGTCCATGTGTGTATTTTAACGGTAGGCCTACATACATTAAGTTCTTTCTTATGCAACCTGCACAGCTAAAGGCCTTATAAATACATGTATTCATATAATACTGCTCATATAAGCAGAAACAGTATGTAATGAGGGCTGATAGAATATGCAAAATGTTAGCTTCAGCTAACCATGACATCCATTCTCCAAAAGAAAGACATGTATGTCACATTTGGGATACTGTGTGCAAACATTGTGTTTAGAGGACGACAACATTAATGTCATCTTAAGTCAGAATCAATCCTAAAAGGCCCTGATCTACAGAGGACTTGTAATATTGTTACTCCCTCTTGAGAATATTCTCAAAACGCTAGTTGATGGAATCATCGACTGATTTGCATTTCCTCTGGCTGACACCTCAGAAATGTATTTTGTTTTTTATGTGCACAAGATTTAAATGGAAACTTTCTCTTTCTCCCTCAGATCATAACCATTTGAACAACGCAGCCTTGTCTCCCCTGGGCCCAGCCATGGCCTTGTCTCACCCTCACAACAACCTGGGAATTGGCTTCAACAAGTACACCTCGCTCAAGGCCGTGGGTGAGTAGGATACACACACACACACACACACACACACACACACACACAGCGACTAGATAGATATACAAAGGATAAATCGAATGGTGTGTATCAAGAGGGACACAGAACACATACTTACTTTAAAGAGGCCAGTGAGCTCAAATACTGTACAGTATAAACAAACTTGAAGTAGGATGAGGAAAAACTCTAAATGTCCCCATATTGGTACACACACTGAGTGGGAAAGTGGTGAAGGGAGAGCAAGCACCAATTAGGATAATGATTTTGTAATGAGACTGACTTCTGTGGCTGATTTAAGATTTCTCCATGTTACATTAGCTGACAGCAGCCATGATGTAAATATGACTGTGTAAAACCTCGGACATAATTTCCATGCCCTGTGTTCACGGACAGCTGCGGACTTCTGCCTGTCGCATGGACACGCATGCATTGAGGTTCCATGTCTGTCTGGCATTCCGCGCATGCATGTTGGCAGCAGTTAGGCTTGTCAAAATTGATGTTTGAATATTTGTTCTAAAATAACATGGAATAATAACATTATTCTAATAACATTAGAATATCTATTTTTGTGCATAATGTCCACGACCACGTGTCCTAACTTTTCCGTGAGCTGGCTGGAGGGACATCTCCATGAGATCACCTGAACGCTTCCTATACTTGCTGTTGTGGTGTCTTCATAGGACTTGGGCCGATGGTGACACGGTCACTGACAAGCGGAGAGCATGAACAGTCCACTCACAAGACAACACCACAACCTGATTTCAATAATGTCACTTCCCCAAATCTTTGTTTGCCCCAACAGTGGGAATGTATTTAATATTTGAAGAATATTTGAAGAATATTTGAAGAAACAAACTCGAGTGAGTTGAGGCACAAATGGAAAAAAAAAAACGTCTTTGTTGAGTTGGAAGAAAAAGCTGTTTGCAAAGCTCTGTGCGGTGAAATGAACAGCACAAGTACAAGACTGTAAACTTAAGTCAGGCTCATGGTGAAGCACAGAATCAATGTAACCTCTTATTCTGTCCTCTGCAGCTGAACATCACGCACCTCACTGAGAAGCTGTCACTGCTGAACCGGAGATTAGCAGGTCGATGGAGATTAAAAACACAGCAGCTGTGCCTTTTTGCGCTAAAACCAATGGACTACACAAACCAATAGACAGAACTAAACAGTGTACAATATGTATTGACAGTATATTTATATGAGTGGCTGCATGCTGTTTACTTCGAACTGAGGACATAATCTGTTTTATAATACGTTATGAAACTGGGGAATTCCTTTATTGAACAAAGCAAATATGAGGATAATTGTATTGCATGACAAAAATCACTTTGTTTCAGTTTGTTATTGGCGAGTTGGTCATCTGCCTAAAGCGCAGCCACTGTACGGCTGACAGTTATTGACAGCTCGCCTTTCTGTTAATGGTTACTGTGAATCAGCTGTGGAAAACAAGTTATGATGATGGTATAAATTTACTGCTGATGATGACATAACTAATGCTGGACTGGGAACTCAACTGGTTCACAATTTAAAAGAAAGGATACAATGCACACACAACATTAGTAATGCAGCAGCAGTTAGAGGCCTCAAGTTTAGCTTCTGCCTTTTGTCTTCTCACTCTCTTTCTCCCTCACACGCAGAAACACAATGGCACTGAGAAAATACCCACATGAATGTACACATCACAATGGCAGATGTACTAATATTTTAATTGGTCCTTGACTTCCGACAGTGGTAGACAAAGCAGGCTTCTGATTTCTAGCCAGCGACAACACAGTGGATGAGCTAGTCATGAGCTGGGCCTTTTATGCCTCAGGAATGCCTGGAGGGAATGACTTCATATTTGGACTCAGAGATGAACTGTTTATAATTTGGAGGTTCAAAGATCAAGGTCACTGTGAAGTCACAACATATGTTTTTGCCCATTGCTCAAGACGTCATATGCTAATTATATACATTTCACACACATCTCTAATTGGGTAATAAGAGGAAGTGGTGACATTTTGTAAAATGCAACTTGACTGGTTGGAGGAAGCATACAGCCACGAGGCACAAAGCATGAGTTACCTGTTTACACATGATTTGTGACCTTTTAAACAAGAAAAACCAAAGACAGAAGACATTGGTTGTGTTGGTTCAGCAGGCTGTTCAGTCTATTATTAAACACAATTGTTTCTTTTTCTCTTCATCAAAATCCTTTTCCTTTAACTCTTAATTTGCCCTCCCCCATCATAAGAAGAAAGAGACAGTTAATTTCTCAATGTATACATTTCAATTACCCTCATTAATTAAAACAGTTTAAGGCACCTTTCTCCTCTATTTATCGATTGAAACACTATCCACTGCTCTTTTTATATTCTCACCGTCTCTTAGTCGTTAGCTAAGAAAGGCCTTTATGTTGTACCGTCTAATCAGTTGAGACAGTAAGAAGGAAGAAGATGGCAAAATGAGTGTGAAAAGTAACTGAAGAGAAGAAGAGCAGAAGAGGGAAAATCTCATCTCATTATTCTGCTCAGTGAGTGAGAAACAAAAGCCGATTGCAGCAGCAACCCCCCCCCCCCCCCCCACCACTCAGTGATGAGTGTGAGAAGTCAGCCACATTTCACTGAAAACTACGCCAAATAACAAATCCTTCACACACTGAGGTGCAGTGCTCCTTTCTCACCTCTCTCTCTCTCGACGTCTCCGTATTCAGTTCTGTTTCTGTTTGATGACACACAGACAACGAACCGCTCCTCTTTGTGCACATCTGTTTTACAGTTTTGTCTCTCTCTCTCTCTGTCATAGACACACACACACGCGTGCGCGCACACACACACGCGTGCGCGCACACACACACACACACACACACACACACACACACACACACACACACATATATGCATCTTCTGTATTCATTCTTCTTTTATAGTTCTTGTGTGTTGTACTTTCTGCTATCAGAAACAATGATCCTTTGAATCTGTGGGTCCACGTGCTCTGAATGATGCACCTAACAGCAAACACAAAACATGTACAACACACACACACGCACACACACACACACACACATGTTACATTAACAATTGTTATACATTGGATACTCTCAGACACACTCTTAACTTGTCTTTTTCTTTTATTGTCTCTGTTGTTTTCCGTTTCTCGCCGCCGTCATTCGTGCTTACACCTGCGTGCATTATGCAACATAGGTTCACACAATATTAGATTACAAATTATGAAAATGGCATGAAAACAAACAAAAATATCAAAAGTAAAATAGGGACTTTTATGCCCAGAATGTTGCCTCTCAGGCTACATGCAGTCTGCATCATCTTCTTACTGGAGGTTAATGGGGCACGTTGTATACAGTCAGTGGAGGACTGCACAGACTACTTAGGGCTAGGTCCTTTGCTTTAATTTGGGTAAAAATAAATAAGAATATTTCAGTCATATTTTTATTTAAAGTGTTTATTTGGCATCTCTAAAAATTACACTAGAATTGAGTATCAATCAAATAAATTATCTATAAATGAAACTAAAAGTGGTTTTAAATAAGGTTAGTGCACCTCTAACATTACAGAGGTTTACACAGCATTTCCATTTCTATTGTTGTTAGTTGTACCTCAAGCTTTGTTTTTTTATCATTATTTGTTCTCATTGTGTCCTTAGAATGCGCTCACATGGAGAGAAACGTGAACGCACACACAGTCCAATCATCTTTTCACACATACTTATCAGTTCCTTTGCTGGGGAATAAACAAGGAACCAGGTCCAGAGACCCTGGCTGTGTGGACAAAGTCATGGCTAGGACACACAACAGTTTGTGTGGGATAGCCGGCCATTTGCCAGCTGAAACAGAAGGTACCTGGACCAAGCTGCTTTAAAAACTTCATTAACACGTTGGCGCTTAATGCAGCTGTTGACACGTTTGTTCTCTAAAACATCTTGTGCCTAGCAAGACGCAAGAGGTGAAATGTGACAAAAGGAAGCAGTAAGTACAAAAGGGGGCAATAAAAAAGAAGAAGGGCATAACAGGTCAAAGATGCCAGGACTCTCTGACGGCGACCTGTGCCAGGTGTAGCAGCAGGACTCCGGCTCAAGCAGCTCTGATATATCTGTCTTCATTAAAGCAGGACAGGTGGACCGACAGGCTGAGAAAAATGTTGGATAAAGATGCGAAAGTTTAGAGTGTGAAAGAGAGAGAGAGAGGACGTGAATGAAATGAACAAGGAGAGTGAAGCGAGAGGAGGAAGAGATAAACTTACATTGTAGAATTTAGATTCCCTGGTTTGGTCTTAAGGAAGCCAATATTAACAATCACTGTATGTGTGAACCATAGAGCTCCACTCAGTTGAGTGTCAGGGTTCCAGGAAGAGAAAAGAAAACATAAGAAAGGTCGATGGATATTCTCGAAGAGGGTGCGAAAGACTGTTTGCTAGGACGCTCGGACTCCACCTTCTGGGATTCAATTTTTAGATATTTTTATTCGATATTTTTGCAGTGCGTTTGCTGCATTTTTTAGCATGCGCTTCAGGTCACATAATGGGAAAAAATAAGTTTGGGGATTTCCTTCATGACTACATGAACTGGAGTGATCTCATGTCCCCCAAAAGATAGCTTTGAAGTAGAAGGAACTCCTCTGGTTCAAAGTTGTTTTTTTTATGTTTTGCACTTCAAGATAGGGTATCTTTACTTTGGAGTACCTGTGGAGACTAGTGAGGACATTTTAACATTTTCTTCACTATATTTTATGAGGTGGGATGGAGATCTCAAAGTGAAGTACTAAATATGTCAGTCTGAATTATATTGAAATCTGCATTAAGTAGTGCAAACGTCATTGAATGTTTCTATTTGAGGTAGTGGTGCAGCCATGAGAGTATTAGCATCTGGGGTTTAAATATTTCACTCAGTAAAAGACATCATATAGCTGCAATGAAGTGTAGAACAGGTACAGGACACTGTCATGGAAAATGTGGAAAAGGAGGAAATATAAGAGTGCTGAGCATAATTGAATGGCACTCAAAATAGACCAAATACAATATCAGTGTGCTGTCAAACTCCGTTAGAGGGCCCACCTTCTGCAGTTATAATGTGGTGGCCCAGATTGGGCCCACGGGCCTCGCTTTAGGCTTCTGCTGGATAGAGAGCAGAAGCTGATGTTGTTGAAGAGCACGGAATAAATGAAATACAGATGGAAAGATTGGATAACAAGAGAAGCGAGAGAAAGAATGAGCAGATGGAGAGTCTGTGAAATGGAGAGGAAGGCACACAATACTGTCACAGAGGACCCTGCTGTCAGGTGCTCCTCCTGGCAACATTTGTGGAAACACTCTAATGGACAGCAACAGCAGTTGTTGTGGGAAGGAAGGCTGTGTTTAATTCATTGTTTTTGTGCCGTCCCAGATTCTCCCGCCCTGTCCAGAGATTTGAACCAATTTTCTCTCAAATTCAGCTGCAGTATATTACACCAAAAACAGAGTCACCAGGTCCATAATGAATAACTGACACAAAACTGAAAAACAACAATACAACTGCACAAAACATATCTATTTACATATATTCAAAACCTTGTAGAACACTCTGCGTATAAAACCTGCATTTGTAGCAACAGTACCAATGTCAAACATGCATCTTCACGGCATCGTGACAAACAGGCAGCTGGTAAAAGCTGCCAAAACCACATGATGCACTTTGCTGCACAGACGCATACACATCAAGCGGCTTATTCCCTCTTCAATGTGCAAATGATGTATGTAAATGGATTCTTTGTTACCCGTCCACATTTGCTCACACATGTACGTAAATATAGGAATCCACAGACACAAATACACAATAATCCCGAACACGTTCATCACCATTTTGCAAAATTTAAATTAAAGCAGAGCAATTTTTCTGTTCATTCTCCTAATTCTTAGACATCAATAATGTGATACTTAATTATACCTCCTAAATCTCTGTCGTTTAAACAATTAAAGTGATACAGTTAATTGTTCTTTCTCCGTCTCTCATAACTGTCCAAAGGTTGATCTACTTGTTGTGGCACAGAAGTGCTTCTCGGTTCAAAGAGTAACGTAAAAGTTTCAAGTTTCTTTCACCTCAGCATCACTGCTCACTGAGTTCGGTTAGCTTTGTAACCACAGCCAACAGTGATGTCACAGTGTACTGACACACCGGGGAGTACACTTCTACATCACTGCAGCAAGGCGATGTCAAAACACTGGAGGTCGGCAAATATATGTTTGTCAGTTTTGTAATAATCCTTTATAATCCTTAGGACCATGGTACCACCAAGTGCATTTTAATGTGACAGCAAACATTATTTTGTCAGAAACACAACAGATGAACAACTGGTGTATCTGTTTACGGCCAAACAAATTCTCATTTCAATGAAGAATTCAGTCAAAAATAATTGCATCTATGTGATCATCCAACCTTCTTGTTCCATTACTCGCTGCTATATTTAAAAATTTCCTGCCATCAAAACAATGCAGCAAATGGCCTTTGCCTTGTTGTCAGTGCTAACAGATCGTTAAAACGCTGACCAATCAGAGCATACTGTTTTTTTTCTGGTAGGGGGGGCTTAAAGAGACAGGAGTGTTTCAGACAGAGGGTGAATACAGGTATATTCAGACAGACCGTATGAGATAAATAATGTCTTTTTTGAACATTAAAGCATGTAATCATGTTCAAGTAGAAACCCAAAATACAAGTATGAATCTGAAAATGAGAATGATATGTCTCCTTTAAAATGTTTAACATCTTTCATCAATAAACCAGTTATTATCGATAAACCAAATGGTTAAAGTTCAAGTTAAACGCAGGCGGCTTTGTCATGTTATGAGAATGGATATGCAGACATCCTTTGAGATAAACAACTATTTAAATAGTTGCAATGCCACTTGCTTAATTTGATGGTACATTGAGAAAAGATGGATTGTATTTAAATCTTTGGAACAGCTTGGAGAATTTTACTGAATGATTGCTGGTGACTCTGTCGCCTTCCTCAACAGCTCCTGTTGAAGTGCCCTGGAGTTATACAATGGACCCACATTTGAAGTGTTCAATAAGCAATTACCAGACAGTGATAGCATTGGACAGTTTCTTGACTTAAGGGAATGTGAGATTAGTCCTCGAGGTGTTTTCTGAAAATACAAATATAAGAATAAATGTTCTCAGTCATCTTGGCTGAGTGAATAAAGAGCAGTGGCTACAGAGGACAACACAGGCCTCTGCTAAGCTTTTCTAACAAATAAATCTAGCCAATGGATGAATTATTTTGTTGTTGTTGAAATGAATATTGTCCAAAGACTCTCCTTGCAAAGCTCTATTTTCTTGAAACTGCATGCAGAAAACTCAGAGCTTAAGCAGTCCAGTGGTGCAAATATACAGCACGCCAAATATGCTCAGAACGAATGTCTCAGAACACCGTGAAATGTATGTGTGTAAGTGTCTCTCTGTCACACACGCATGCGTTAACACTAAGGCACATTCATCGACATTCATTACAACAGATTAAACTCAACAGGTCATACATCTTCAGACCAGACAATTGACACAATCATATTATTATGTTCCTGTTTGGAGTGTAATAATGATAAGATCCGACCCGCAGGCACACAAACAGATAAAAACAAACAGACAGATGTACTTTGTCATAAACATGTAGTACAAGCTGATAGCAGCTGCGTCCTGTTATCATATGAGGAAGGCAGATGTTAAGAAATTGAAAGATAGCAAGTCTAAGAGGCAGTATGATTCAGAGCAATAAGTGTTTGCAAGAACGAAAAAAGACCCAAATAAAAATCATCATAGAGAAGAATGTTTTTATTTCTCTCCAGGAAAAACGGACCAATAAAGCAGGGCTAAGCAAACAAGGTTGTTAGTATCTTTAGGGCAGTGTGTGTGTAGGGTGTGTGGGGGGGGCAGTGGTGATGAACAGCAGAGTCGAGTTCCACTCAGGGAGCTCAGACTAATCTGACTCGACACGCTGAACCCACTCTATTTTTACTCCCAACAAATCTCCCATTTTGTCCGACACTCACTTACTCACCCTCCTTTTTCTCCCGTTTTGTCGACTATTTTCTTGATTCTCAGTCTCGCTCCCTCTATTCCTTTCTCCCTGGTGCTGTGTTGGTGTTTTTGACTCCCCTGTGTGTGTGTAGACAGTTCAGAGCTCAAATACATCATATATGGTACAAACACTCGCATCTCCATGGATACACACACATGTACACCCTGCAGGATTCATCGTGTTTGCCTTGGCTT